AATATGAATGAATAATGCCTAGTCAATCCTTGATCTCTCTCCTGAGACTGCCAGAGGAAAACCGAATGGCTCTGATTATTGTTGTGAGACGGACCTCACTCAGTTGGGCAGTATTCTTAGGCTTTTCCCCCCTACCATTTCAAAGCCAAATTAGTGTGACTCATATTTTTTTTCAGTATTATTGAAAATTGGAGCATGTTTTCCCACCAAACACCCATATCGTCTGGCCACGTTTGTCATCCAGAGCAGTGTTTCTCAACCAGTGGTACAAGTACTCTTAGGGGTACTTGAGAGAAGTCCGGGGGGGGGGGGGGGGGGGGGAGAGGTACATCAACACAACTGAAATTTTGAAAAAACTAAATTTTTGTTTTACGGTTTATAGCATTTTATTATTTTTGTACATTTTACACCCAAAAATTTCATTGCCTGCCCTGCTACGATTAAGTTGTTTAAACAAATGTGTTGCAATGGTAGAAAAAAAATTGTGTGTCTGAAAACTGTAGGTACGGGGGTACTTATATTTTTTTAAAAGGGGGCACAGTCTGCCCCAACTTGTGATGTGATCAGCTCCAGGGATAGTGTCGCAAGTTGGGGGCATCATAACTCAAGCCCGATTTACGACAGATGTCATATGCTGTCGTAAATGTGGGGACATATGTCGGGAGCTTTCGGCCCCTTCCACACTTATGGAAAAGGTCGTAAGTGTGGCGAGGGGGAGTCATAAATTGGGCCGTCATAAAGTGGGGGCCTCCTGTACTTATAATTTTTTTTGAAAAAGGGGTATTTTATAAAAAAAAAGGTTGAGAAACACTGATCCAGAGCAATTCCTCTTGCAGTGATGTTCTATACCACCTCCTAGAAAAGAACAACCAAAACCCAAAACTGAGGAGATTAATGCCAAAGAACAGGGATTGAATTTATGTGCACGCAAACACTTTTAATTGCCAAATCTTCTTCTTAATAGAACGACCTTTTCCTGTGGGTATAAACACAGATGAGGTCTATGTTGTCAAGGCCACATCTGAGTAAAAGTGTGGTCAAGTGAATTCAAAACAGAAAATGTCATACATCAAAGAATTTGCTTCTCACACAATCTAGTAGTCAGCACCAAATGAGCATGTTGTTACTGCAATGTACTCAACAGTTGCCCCGGAGAAGAACACGCTCTTTGATTTTATGACAGTGGTTAGAGGACAGTCATAAAAAGGACAAAATAGAGGAAAAATCTCCGATCTTTTGCTTTATGCCTTTTCCGCACAGGCACCTGTGCTTGGAACAATTTTCCTCTTGACCATGTATTAAGTACTTTCCCTCACTTCCTGAGCACCTCTTTTAAAAGATCTCTCCTATGGACAGCAGTCTTTGGTGCGGCTGCTTTGTCCAGGACAGGAGTTAGGGATGCTATGTGTAGTAATACTAGGCAGCACAACCTTAGTCAGATTTTCTACCTTATGAAATCATGTATAGCTCTGTAAAGTGCAGGTAAAATACTATCAAGTTACATGTCTTCACTCATATACTCTGGAGCTGGCATTTCACGCCCAAATGTCGCTCGCTTTGTACAATGTAAGGGTACTTCTACATAGCAGGGCAAAAATTAAACCAAACTACACAACTTGAGCTACGTCAATTGCGTAGCTGAAGTAGAAATAGCTTCATTCGGCTTTTGGCGCTGTCTACACAGCAGGAAGTCAAAGAAAGAACACTCTTCCTTCAACTTCCCTTATTCCTTGTAAACTGAGGATAACAGGAGTCGTAATAAAAAGTCCTCCAGCTCACCAGTATTTCAAAATAAAGGCTTGCAGCGTAAATGCGCTTTTTGTTATTTTGGAATAACGCCAGCTATTCTGAAATAATGCTGCTGTGTAGACATAGCCCCAATGGTGACAGATGGTAAGGTAATGGTGAATCATGCCTGTCGTGTTAATTAGTCCATGAATTAGAGAGTCAGAATGAATCACAGGGCTTATGTAGGTCCATGAAACTGAATACAAAAGTAACTATATATTAATTACAATTGACACCCGTCTGTTTTGTACACCAAGGAATAATAAGATAGAAGGCAGTCTGTCAAATGAACCAGAAGTCAGGAGACATGGGTTCTCTGTCCTTCTCTGCCCCTGATATGCTACTTAAATGAGTGAATGATCATTTTCTAACTCAGATTCACCATCTATAAAATGAGGGAAATGATGCTTGCTAACATTTTGGAAAGTTCTTTGAGAGCCACAGATGAAAAATGCTATATGAGAACAAAGTATTTTTATTTTCATTCCCTTTCCAGAAATGTTCATGATGGATGCTGTATTTGCCCAGAAACCCTGTGCTATATGAACTGTGCAACATGATTTATTTTATTATATGGATCTGCAATACTGGGAGATCAAAGGGTAAATGATGCAGTGATTTATAGGCACTATAGATGCAGTGATTATGAAAAGACTTTGTCAAGTTTGGCCCATAAATTGGACTACCCTCTTTTTAACTCACTATGTTTGAAAGACTCTTTCCTGTCCTTTATATGGTCCTCATAAGAAGAAAAAAAACACACTAGTACCTGTAGTACTTCATAGAATCATAGAATCATAGAATAATAGGACTGGAAGGGACCTCAAGAGGTCATCGAGTCCAGCCCCCCGCCCTCAAGGCAGGATCAAGCTCCGTCTACACCATCCATGACAGATGTCTATCTAACCTGTTCTTAAATATCTCCAGAGAGGGAGATTCCACCACCTCCCTTGGCAATTTATTCCAATATTTGACCACCCTGACAGTTAGGAATTTTTTCCTAATGTCCAATCTAAACCTCCCCTGCTGCACTTTAAGCCCATTACTCCTTGTCCTGTCCTCAGAAACCAAGAGAAACAAATTTTCTCCTTCCTCCTTGTGACACCCTTTTAGATATTTGAAAACCACTATCATGTCCCCCCTTAATCTTCGTTTTTCCAAACTAAACAAGCCCAGTTCATGAAGCCTGGCTTCATAGGTCATGCTCTCTAGACCTTTAATCATTCTTGTCGCTCTTCTCTGTACCCTTTCCAATTTCTCCACATCTTGCTTGAAATGTGGCGCCCAGAACTGGACACAGTACTCCAGCTGAGGCCTAACTAGTGCAGAGTAGAGCGGCAGAATGACTTCACGAGTTTTGCTTACAACACACCTGTTGATACAACCTAGAATCATATTTGCTTTTTTGGCAACAGCATCACACTGTTGACTCATATTCAACTTGTGGTCCACTATGACCCCTAGATCCCTTTCCGCCATGCTCCTTCCTAGACAGTCGCTTCCCATCTTGTATGTATGGAACTGATTGTTCCTTCCTAAGTGGAGCACTCTGCATTTCTCCTTATTAAACCTCATCCTGTTTACCTCTGACCATTTCTCTAACTTGCTAAGGTCATTTTGAATTATGTCCCTATCCTCCAAAGAAGTCGCAACTCCACCCAGTTTCAGGCAAACCCATAATAACTAAATCGAAGGGGAAAAGATTTTAGTAAAGAGTTAGATTTCAGTATCAAAGAGCATTATTATAAGGAGAATAACACAATGAAGTTAAAAATTATGAAAATATGACAGGCATTCAAAGGAAGCACAGGAAGTGAAGGGAAGAGGCAAAGCAATGCAGAAGAGATAACTATGTAGAAATATCTTAAGTTAATCTTTTATGTTTATAAACTCATGACAGAATTCAGTCACAGAATTCAGCATGCAAGATAAGTTTTAGACACCCCTCAGTTTTTCCATGATTCTAAGAAAGGCTTCTGATAAATGCAGCTCTCATTGTGTGCTTTCACAATTGCATCCAGCACAGAGTAATATAGAGAACATGATACACAGGACTTGACTCATCCCAGAGCTGC